GTACCCAGGGCACCTGGGTGGCTCAGTTAGTTAAGTGTCTGCCTTCGGTTCAGGTCAAGATCCTGGAGTCCTGGGATCAAGCCCCACATCAGGTTCCCTGTTCTCCCTCTGCATGCACTCTCTCAAATAAATAAATAAAATCTTAAAAAAAAAAAAAAAAGGTGCCCAGATTCAGTACATATAAAGAATTTCTACAAATCAATAAGAGAGACAGCCAAGTAGAAAATTAATTAATAAACATGAACAGGAATGCCACAAAACAGGTGCTCAACTTCAGGGAAATATTAAAACCATAATGGATACTACCACACACATCCACCAGAATAACTGAAACTTTAAAAGTCTGACAATGCCAAGTAACCAGGAGGCTATGGAACTCTTAGACACTGATCATAGGAATTTAAACTGGTACCACCACTGTGGAAAGCAACTTAGTATGAGCTGATACAATTAAAGATACGCATATAAAATAACCTGTAATTCCCTCTTTTTTAGAATGCTCTTTATTTTCACAAAACAGGGCATGTGCAAGGCTTGTCCACAAGTGTTTTTAAACACTTGTTTAAACACTAAAACACATTCTCTTACTCTCCCGTTGCTCTTCTTTTCCTTTGTAGTTCTTTATAAAATATATGCTTTGAACCCTGGATATGCAGGAGAGAATGTTACAGCAACTCTGTTCCTACTTCTCCCCAACCAGAAACAAATTCCCATCAAAGGCAGAGTGGATAAATAAACTGTGATACATTAATAAAATGGAGTGCTATACAGCAATGAAAATGAACACAGGCCAACCACAACATCTAAGATCATGGTTGAATACCACAAACAATTCTGAACAAAATAAATCAAACACAAAACAATAGTGTATTATTTCATTTATATCAAGTGAAAATAATAAGCCAAACTGCATAATTAAGTGGTAAAACCATAAAGCAATGTAAATAAAAGCCAGCCTAGTGGTTACTACCAGAGGGAGACAAAGGAGCATGTAAGCAGGAAGAGGCATCTGGGGGCAGAGAGCTTAGAGGAGGCAGGTAATGCTCTGTTCTACTTCCTGACCTAGGTGATAGTTACAACGGTAGTTACAAAAATAATTGCAAATTATTTTGTAATAATTTGTTAAGCTTGTCATTCATGCTTGATACACTTTTCTGTATGTTTGTTAGATTCTGTATAATTTAAAAGTCGTTTGTTTTTTTAAGAAGAATGAAGTAGAGGACTAAAGCAATACATGTAACATTTGGATATTACTTAGCACTGCATTTTGAAAGGGAATAAAGATGAAGTAAAACCCTTTTCACTGATCTCTGCACCTGGTATTCTGTTGTTTTCTTCGCATCAGAATAAAATTCATAGAGGTATGGTCTTGCCCAGAGAAGACAGGTATCTCCTAAATTTGGCAGGCCTGGTATCTCCTCCTGGATTATAACCTCTCAGAACAGACTATCTTTAGATCCACTGCTATATCCTCAGCCTCTGGTGTAGGGCCTGACAAACAGTAGGTGCTCAAAAAGTATCCGTTCAGTTGATTCACCAGTAAAACCAAGTTTTTCAAGAACCAAGTATTCCGAAAAGAGGTGAAAGAGTCCTGTGACCAACAAATCTCTAAACTGTAAGAATAGTCACTGAAGTGGTTATTTGATGAGACATTTGAGGTTACCAGTAAAACTTCAAAAACAGAAACAAAAACAAATACACTGTATTAATGTATTTCCAACATATTAACATACGCTAACATATGGCCAGCAAACAGAAATTTTATTTCATCTCAGTTCTAAGAATACAACTCATACAACTCAGTCCAACATTTTCAAATTTAATAATCTGAATTTTTATTGAATTTTAGAATTTATGGAGGAAATCCGTAGTTTTTGACTCAGGCTGTTTCAATCACATTCCTTGAACTGTAGAATGTGGCTATTTCTCACACCTCCCACTCAACCTATCCTCACCAAGGTGATTCCTCCTAAGTGGCTAAATCCAAGCACTGCTTTTCGGTCCTTATCTTGCTTCATGCTCTAGAGCGGCCCTGTCCACTACAGTGGCCACTAGCCACACGGGGCTACTGAGCACTTCAAATGGACTGAGTACGATGAAGATAGTAAGTTTTTAATTTTTAAAAATTTTAATTAAATTTAAGTTTAAAAACTGACACTTTGTTCAGTTATCAGTTTCTTTGTAACAATTTGGGTATGTGAGCCTACTTTTTCAACTGTAAATTTTATGAAATTGAAATACAGAGCAAGAACTTCCAGTGAAAATTTAGCATCTGAATTAAGATGTAACATGTAGATACAAAATGTAAATGTAACATACACACTGGATTTCAATGACTTAGTATGAAAAGAAATTATAAAGTAATCTCATTAATAACTTTTATATTGATTATATGTTAAAATGATAGTATTTTGGATATACTGGGTTGCATAAAATATTATTAAAATTAATTTCACTTATTTCTTTTTGTCTCTTAAAGCAGCTACTGGAAAATTTAAATTATCTATGTAATATGTATTTTATTTGTGTTGGACAGTCCTGCACTATAGCATTAGATATGAATGACCACTCATTCCTTCTTGAAATGCTGCTGGTTTTCTCCTTCTACACCTTTGACTCTCTGTTTCTGACCCGCAGTGTAGCTTATTCCTGCACTCACTCCTTAAATGCCAGTGTCTCCCAAGGTTGTCCCGAGGTTCTTTTCCCTCCCCATGCCAGCTGCCCTCTATGGGCAATCTCACCCTCACCCAAGTCTCCACTGTTCCCAAGCCCTGAGGATTGTCAGCCCTCCTATGTGTAAATCAGCTCACTTTCCTAAGAACAGTATGCTCAACTCCATCTACACCTAAGTACATCTGCACTTAACCTGCCATTACATCTTTTGAATATTTACCTTATTCATATCATAAGTCTGGCCCCTTTTCTCCATTTCATTCAGGGCTGCATGATTTCTCACCATCATCACTACAATAGCTTCCAAAGTGCTATCCCTGCTCCCTTCCAAATCAACTTCCTTTTGTTGTTAAGATTCTAAAATTCACACCTGGCCAAATGACTTCTCTGTTTAAAATACTTTGGCTTCCCCACTGCCTTCAAAATAAAATAAAAATTTCTTTATTTTTTTTTAAGATTTTATTTGTCAGAGAGAGAGCACAAGCAGGGGGAGCGGCAGGCAGAGGGAGAAGCAGGCTCCCCGCTGAGCAAGGAGCCCAACGCGGGACTCTATCCCAGGACCTCAGGATCATGACCTGAGCCGAAGGCAGACTCCTAACCGACTGAGCCACCCAGGCGTCCCAAAAACTTCTTATAATTATACACTAGGCTTCATGCTTCATTACCAGCCGTCCAAAATCCCAAGCTCAAGCATTATCTAAGTACCTGCAGTTCCCTGAAAAGGGCATGGGCTCTCTCCAATCATCTTTGCGCAAGCTCTTTTTGCTGACAGGAATATCCTTCCTAAAGCTCTACCCCTGCTTTCCTAGTCACCCTTCAAAACTCAACTGGTATATCACCTCCTGCAGGACTCATCTACAAACCCCCAAGTCTGAGCAAGTGTCCTCTGTATCACCATCACACTTGTACATAGCTCTGGTTACCAGTGAATTCCCTGATGGCAGGAGTTAAGATTTTAAGTTAACCTTCCTGTGCTATACTTTATATGTACCTATTGATAAATGAACGCAGTATTAAATAAGGGAAATCCACAGAATAAAATGCAAGGCTAGAAATTTTAAAATAGGCTAATAAAGTCATGAGTTTAAACGAAGAAAGTTGACCCAGTGACCCTAAAAACACTTTATTACATGCCTTATTTCAGGACTTAATGAACTAGTCAATATAAAAATATATCCTAAGTAATCATTAAAACATCAAATACTCAACAAAAGCAACAATTTAAAAAATTAAAGACTATATATGTTATTCTATTTCTATAAGCTTGTTTTTCATACCTTTTCTTCCCTAATTCTACTTATCAGTTCCTTTCTTTAGCTCTTTACAGTAATTTACCTTCCAGTAAAGTTTGCACCCTTTCCTTCCCCCACCCAATTCTTTTCATTTCTACTGTCCCTTCAATTCTTCTTTTAAATCTAAAAGAAAAACACAAACATTGTCTTTGTCAGCTCTGTCAGCAATTTTGTATAAAACAAAGTAATGGTAAAAAGCAGTGAATGGAATGAGATCACCAGTCAGACTGATAGACAAAACTGTATGCATTAATCTGGGGGGGTGATTTCATAATACTAAGCAGCTAATCTGAACCATATGCATACTAAGTGGAGTCTGACCAGCATCAGCGAGTCCTTGGGGTTATTACAGCAGGACAATGGCGGGTATAAGAAAAGAACAGCAACTTGCTGGCGGTGAGGGCAGCCACAGCCCAGCCTTACAACATTCACCAACTTGTGCCTGTCCTTCCTGTGGGGGGAATGCAGGACGCTGTCAGCTAAGCGGCCTAGCACAGTCAAGGAACCGATTTGACGGTGAGCAGCAAGCAGCAGCCAACGAGCACCGGATGCTAGTCTGAGCACCCTGGCCTGGATACCAACTTGAGGATATAAAATAAAGACAGCAGCTCCCAGGGCACTTCTAAATTTTCATTTTACTACAGATTAGATCCTGAGAGAGGCAAAGAAATACTTAGACGAAAATTATGTAAGTATTTAAACTAGGATGATAAGGAGAAACAATTTTTTGAAGGATCACAATCGCTAGAAGGAAAGAGAGAACATTCTTTTCATTACCTGAAAGTAATTTTTCAAAATCACACAACGTGAGGTCTTCCAGGCATGAAAAAGTTCACCCTAAAGACTGCTATCTTCTGGAATTCACAATCAAGCAAAAATGAAATCTCTTGAATAACTTTACACGCAGCAAGATAATGGAACAGTAAAGACTGTATTTGAAAAAGTTTCTAAAACATCATAGAACTGGACTATCCAAGGAGCACCTTTAAAAAATCAATTTAACGCAAAGCAGTACAGGGCAAGATTTACTCTTACCCGTGTCCAGGAGTTAAGTTTCGATTCTTCAGAATTCTGTGGTTCTTTATTAATCAAACAACATAAGCACCATATTAGAATTTTTTTGGCTTTCATCTGCAAAAAGGAAAACTAAAATAAGTAGGTTTTATCAAATAGAAAAGATAATCAGTATACAAATTTTTTAAACACTGTATTTAAAGGAAATACATGTATTATATTTTAGGAAAATCTCAAACTATTAAATTCACAGAACAAGCATCCAGGACCATGTGTGAAACTTCGTGGGGTTTTTTATTCTTGTGGTTTTGGGATCACTTATGCTTAGCCCTTGTGTGGTCAATTACCTTTCTGACACAGCAACAAATTTTTTTTTTTTTAAGATTTTATTTATTTATTTGACAGAGAGAGACACAGCGAGAGAGGGAACACAAGCAGTGGGAGTGGGAGAGGGAGAAGCAGGCCTCCCGCCGAGCAGGGAGCCCGATGCAGGGCTCGATCCCAGGACCTGGAATCATGACCTGAGCCGAAGGCAGACGCCTAATGACTGAGCCACCCAGGTGTCCCTGACACAGCAACAATTTTTAAAGCCAAAAGAGAATGATAGAAATAACTAAAAGAACTGCACTTTTCTCAAGATCAGTTCTCTTAAAGTATATTTCAAACTGCTAGTAATTTTAACCTTTTAAAAGCAATATAACTGTTATAGGCAGTAGTCAATATTAGTCTTAATCTTTTAATTTTCTAGTTTCCCAAAACACCCTCACTTGTTAAAAACAAAATTAACAAAAGGATCATTTTAAAATATATTCTGTTTAGTACTAAATGGTTTGGATAAAATAGAAGCCTCTTACATGCTCCTCATTCTTTACTCTAAAATTTAAAACTTTACCAAATATGTGATGAAAACACTGAACTTTGAAATCTTATACTTGGCAAGAATATCTACTCGGTGAGCCATTTTCTTTTTCCTCGTTTGGTAAATGAGTCCATTCCAGTTGGAGATTTTACAACACAACTGAGAAGCAAGAAGGATGCCTAAAACTGAAGATGTCAGTACCTACACGAGAGCCAAGCAACCGTGGCCTTCATCCGAAGACCATGGAGTGGTGGCTGAGGAAGCCCAGCACCTGGAATCAATCCTCTGCAGAATCACCTGATGCCCTTTACCCTCTCATCTTCTACGGTCTCATAAACACAGCATTTCTAAGAGCTACGGTAACAAGAAATAAGAAAAATATAAACTGCAGTAAGCTACCCCTGCATTTTCAACCATACACCAAAGAACACTAATAGTAATTGTTTATTAAACCCCTTTTTCCCCATAAACGTCCTAAGTTTATACTCCCCTAATAACACCTCTAAACAAACTTTATCTGGTATTATTTTGAGGAACATTTGATTTTTTTCCTACTTTTTATGAGCTCAAATGTATCACTGGCTTGCCTATTATAGGTTAATTTCATGAATCATGTCATTTAACCTCCGAAGATCCTAGGATTCTTCAGGTTTAACCAATGCCACTGATTAAAAATTTGACTGTTGTACTTCCTATGCTTTAAATATTAGAAGCAATTCTAACTATCTTCATGTCACAGAGTGTCAGACACATCCAATGATATGCTTATTACACAAGCAGCTTCCCCTGTTAGAAAACTTAAGTCATCTAAAAGATGGAAATTTTCCCCAGGTGTTGAGTGAATATGCACACTTAGTTCAACAAGTATATCATTTTTCAAATTTTTCTCTCAAAACAAAACAAAAACAAAAACAGAGAGCAGCCAGACAAATGTTCACCCAACCTTTGGGAGGTGCCTTCCTTTGCCCAGAGTCAATGTACTGAAATGCACTGAAATGTACTGTTAATGAACTTATTTTGCTTTAGGGATTTACAGATGCAAGCCATCACTTGTTATTCATGAGTGCCACCAACACTCACTGCAGGGCAGAAGGCTTCTGTCAGGCTCCTCCCTGAGACCCCTAGATTCAGAGTGGACATCCTGCAGGGCAGTTAAGTGAGATGGGAAAATGCCTGGGGTTCATCATGCAAGCAGTCACTGCCAGCAGATCTTCGTGAAAATTTGGATTCTAAAAATGAGTGGAAGGGAAAAGAATATACCAGCATATATTTGCCACCTAATATTTTTTTTGGTATCCTGAACTAAAATTCCAAATGAAAGCTAAATTAATTCTTTAAAATTCGGGTCACCTGGGTGGCTCAGTTGGTTAAGCGACTGCCTTCGGCTCAGGTCATGATCCGGGAGTCCTGGGATCAAGTCCCGCATCAGGCTCCCTGCTCGGCGGGGAGTCTGCTTCTCCCTCTGACCCTCCTGTCTTTCATGCTCTCTGTCTCTCATTCTCTCTCTCTCAAATTCTCGCTCTCTCAAATATTTTAAAAAAAAAATAAAATTCTTTTAAAATTCCTTCATCTATAATTTAAAAGTGTGAAAGCAGCATTTTTTAAGACAATAAATATTTATTATTTTAAGCTGCCAAGTTTGGGGGCAAATTTTATATAGTAATAAATAGCAAATAGTGAGGTTATAGCTGTTATATTTAATCATGAGAGCATAGCTCAAAACAACCAGTAAGAATTCCAAGAAGGTGAAAGCGATAAGTTTATGCAGAGAACACCCCTGAATAAAAGGTGTTCCCTCCCTTTCCATTATCAGTTTTTTCTCTCCTCTTCATGGTGTCTTTTCCTTTCTGAATCTTTCCTCCTTTTTTATTATCCTTATTTCTGATCCAATTCTCACTTAACATTATGAGAGACTTAACTTCTTTCTTTGATGGAAACTCATCTTTCCTGTATTTAAAAAGTTATTTTGCTATTATAAAACCATAAGAAAGGACCCTTTCCTGGACAAAAGTACCCAACTAGCAAAACAACAGTAGCAGCGCAGGCAAGACTTGATTCATCACGGAGTTCTGTTGTCTGTCAGTCTCCACTAAGCTCAGAACCCAAGGCACTCCTCAAACAGGAAGCTGAAATTTAACAGGCAGTTCGAAACGTAACAGAGGCACAGAAACAAAAAGAGATGAAGGATTTGTTTCCGGTTGTCAGAGGGGGCCAATGTAATGGGGATAGGTGCAAAGGAAAGATCACAGACAGATACAAGTTTAAGGCCCTAGGGATAAATCAGTCCAGCCCTTTTACAAATAAGGGATCTGAAACCACGCAAGTCTGGTGACTTGTCTCAGAAAGTCCTGAATCATCTACTGTTTCTTAAGAGTCGGCCCCAGCTCGACCTCCCCTGAAAAACTCTCCTTTCTCTCTCAGCTCCCTGTTCTGAGTCAGGCTGATCTGCTGAGGTCTCTTTTCTCTGTGACTGGATGCTTCCAGTGAGAGAAATTGTAGCCATGTTTTCCTAGGCCTCACATATTAAAAAATAAAAAAAAGCGCTTAGTAAATACCTGTCCAGTAAATATATACATTGACGTGAAGCTGGCTGGTGTTAAAGCCAGAACTGGACCACTTCAACCACGATGATGTGATACACAGGATGGATCATTACAACAATGCAGGCTTTAGAGGGGTGGGATCCTGGCTTTTATCAGTTTTACATTATGGGGAAAGTGATTTCCTTGCCCTAATCCATAATTACCTATCCTGCAAAACTATCATCAAGTAAATATTACACTAGCTAAAAATACAGCCAAGTCAAGGCAATAAACCTCAACGGTATACCTTCCGATGTGTCTGCTTCCCCTATGCTTGGCCCTAGGACGACAAAAAGAACTAAAACCACAGTTCCTGCTCTTGAGAGGCATTCAGTCCTCCAGGACATCAGACAGGCAAACCAACAATTACAAAACAGTGCAGTAAGTGCTATAATTAAGGGAGATGCGATCAGCTATGGAGACACTAAGAGAAGTTCCTAACTCAGCCCCAGCAAAACTATTCCAAAGAAAGTTTAAGAGGACAGGAGATGAAAACAGAGCTCCAGGCAAAGGAATCACATGTCACAGGTCCTGACATCATGTACGTTCAAGTCACTGTAACTCGACCTGGCTATCATGTGTGTGGTGTGCCCGTGGAGAATTACACAGGAAATGAGGCTAGACAGGTAGGCAGGAGGTCAAGAAAGGAACATCTACCCCCAAAGTGTCCCCAAATTCCTCTTCACCTTGGGTAAAACCACAACGTCACCCCCAAATAATGTCAGGGCCTTGGGAGGATTCAGACACTGAAGAATGATTTTACACATGGAAAATGTGAGTTAACATGAAATTGTGAAACAAGAAATTATTTCATTATTATCACCATTTCATGCTGAATTAAAAATGAGGTTATGATAATCATCTGGAAGAGTCTACTCTATAATACAAGTTCTGTTTTCTTACAGATCTGCATGTGTATGGGTGTGTGTATGTACGTGTATGTGAGATTATCTATATGAACATATATGGACAAGAAAAGGATGCCATCTTTCTAATGGAACAATGAATAAATCTTAATAGTTGTTTTGTAAACAATAGGACAAAATTTGTAATTTGAAGCTCTGTATTTTGTTAAACAATGCAAAGATTAAAATTATCATTAGAAGTTTGTATTTTGAGAAGACACGTTTTGAATTCTTACCAAATGCTAAGATAAAAGGATTCCAGCAAGTTCTTGCCAACAGTTGACCAATTGTGGGGAATCTTTCAATGATCGTATTTGAATCCTGTAAAAGAAAATTATGTTTTGGTCAACAAAATACTTTTGTTGACCAAGTTCAACTGATACTACAGGTTGAAGGAATCTGAATATTTAGTAGTTCAGAAAAGGAGGAATTTCAAATAAAATTTAACAAGTAACCACCTAACTTCATCCTTAAACCACATCATCAAAACTAAGATGTACAGCACATTTACATAAAATCAATCTTGTTACAAAATTATCTTTATTTTACTCATACTTAGGAAAGCCAATTTGTTTAAAAATAACAAAGAATGTATAACAGTGAACAAAATATTGTGGGTGATTAATAACTATATAATCCTATATCTTCATCCTGGTTTTTTTTACTCTACCATAAGAGAGGTTCCTAATTCAACTTTACTAGGGCTATTTCAAAGAAGGTTTGGGAGGACAAGAACTCTGGAACTTGTAAAAAGAAACAAAAGCAGCCAAAGCATAAAGATATATATCTCTGTTTATTACGATTTCAGTTACTATATGCTAAATGACATCATACTTACTCTACAACAACCTGAGACAAAAAAAAAAAAATCAACCAAATAGAAAACAGCTTAAGATTAAACAATCTACATGCTATTGTACAACTGGCCCTCTTTCCACTTCTTTACCTTTCAAGAAAGTTCAAAAATAAGACCTAAATGAGGTGATATGTATATAAGCTGAAATATAAGTTGCTGCACCAATAAATTCTTCATATTCATCTTAGCATCAAGGCCAGTCCTAGACTTTCTGGGACCAATTGAAAGCCAAGTTGCAGAAGTCCTATTACAGAAAAACAATTTTAAAAGGTAGCATCAGGAGAGGGGGAAAGATGGCGGAGGAGTAGGGGACCCTATTTCAGCTGGTCCCCGGAATTGAGCTGGATATCTACCAGACCACTCTGAGCATCCACGAAACCAGCCTGAGTTGTAAGAAGATCTGGATCTCTACAAACAGAATTTCGCAGGTGGTTGGTTTTGAGGTACGAAGCAGAGAGCCGTGATTCTGCGGGCAGATATTGGAGGATAAACAGCAGCAGGAGGGAGCCTGGCCATGGGGATCCTACACCGCCAGTGAGTGACAGCCTCGCGCGCTGTGGACGGGGCACAGACTCGCAGACCGGTAGTGTCGGGTAAAGGACTTTAGGGCAGCCCCCGGCGTGGAAACCCAGAGCGGCACGGTGGCGTGCACATGAACTGCAGCCCCCTGGATGGAAACCCGGAGCAGCAGGGTTGCGCCGGTGAACTGCAGCCCCCACGGGACAGAAACCCAGAGCGACAAAGTCGCGCGCACGCGAACTGCAGCCCCCCGGGACTGAAACCCGGGGGGTGGAGTCACACACGCTTGGGAACTGGGAGCAGCTGGAGGTTTTAGAAGCACAAAGGGCAGAGACGTGCCCCGACTGGAGGCAGGGCTGGGAGCGCTGCGGAGGGGCGCACAACCCAGGCCGCTGCAGTTTATAGCAGCACGGACAGAAATGGAGACAGTGTGGCCTGGAGGGCTCACTGAAGAACAGACTGCAGTCTCTGCTCTGAGGCAGAGGGTTGGAAACGGGTCTCTTCTGCTCTGACTCGCGGAAGAGACGCAGAAAGCTGCCAGGGGAAGGCGCCAGAGAACAAAAGCCCCAAAGACTGATTCCC